TTTTTTTTTTTTTTTTTTTTTTATTCCTCGGTATATCCACATACGTGTACGATATATTATATTATTCGGTTCGACATCTGTTACCTATATATTATATACGTACATTCTCTCGCAAAAGGTTGAAACGACGTTATGCAATATAGGTTCACTATAGGTTCCTGTCGCGCGGGGCACAATATATATTATAATCGAGCCCCCCCGTCAACCCGCACTACCTTTCCCCGCCCCTCCACTACAACGCTAACACACCGCCGCGGCGGCGGCGGTCGGAGCAAGTGCGAGAATTTTCATTTCAACTATTTCGCGAGGAGAAAAAAAAAACAAAAAAATCTGTAGTGTATCTAGGTACGTATATAGATTTAGACGTTTCGTTTGCGTAGTATGTTTCCGACCGGCGAACAACAATATTATAATTTATCGGTAGTGCTGAAAAAAAAACGCCTATTTTCGCGAGCGCTCTTAATCGAATATTAATCGATCCCGGAAAACGTATAATATATGAGTCGTTTGTTTAAGCGCCGCGCTACGCACGCAATGGGAAAATAATGAATGTTTAAACATCGGGGCTTCGTAAGAAAGCTCTTTTTATTAAAAAGTCAGTTTTCGCCGTATTGCCGAGCGCAAGACGCGCTATATAGCAGATGTGGAAGAAAAATACGTCCTGTGTTAATTTGATTGTCTTCAGATAATCAGATCTAATCATATGGATTATTGTTATATTATGCAAAAGAACGCAAGGCCGCTTATAGCTATAGGTACTGGACGAGTCATTTGATCGTACGGACCGTATAAATACTTCACGATTAAAACTACAAAATCATTATCAGATTTTTTCAAATCAATTTCAATGTTAGTCGACCGAGTTTTCGGGTAGTTGGCAAGTTGGAAAGTCGGTGCATACGAGTTATTTTTGCGGGTTGACGAGAGGGTGGCAGGGATACTTCCTTGTCCGAGACAGCCAAATAAAATAATAATAACTGGTTTAAAATAATTTCATCCGTGTCATCCGGAAAACCAAGAAATCGACCAGAAAAACGTAAATTGTTCACGTTGAAATATCGAAAATCGAGTGTTTAAAAATCAGTCCTTAAGATCATAGGTCACTTCGAAACGTAGACGGTTTGCACATCATCAATCTCGATTCAGATGTCGCATTGAAATTTCGTCAACGTCGGAAAAAAACCGTATAGATTTGCGCGACGGACAGATCTGACGCGCAGACAGAACTTCGATTTTCAAGAATGTCCGTCGTAGATATTGACCGGCGATACTTGACCGGGCGAGTTGATTCCGACTAGTCGATCGCACCGTTGCCCAAATCGCGTGACGGTAACATTGTAGAATATTAAAGGGGTGTAAAAAAACGAAAAAAAAAAAAAAAACATCATCGATCGGTAAACCTAATAACTCGCGTTTCGCACATGCGTAACTTTATATACATAAAAAAAAAAAAAATAAAACCTTGTACCGAATTCCAAAGACAGCAACGCAGTTATTTACTCGCTTAACTGTCGAGTCCGGTTTAATATAGAGGGGCGCGAGCGCAGTACATTATCGTTCGTCGCCGTAATCATAATGTATAGTAAAAAAAAAAAAAAAAATAAATAAAAAACGGTACGCAAAACCGCCCGACGATTTGTCTGGCGGTGCAATAATAACAACGACGCTACGACGAGGGTGAGGGGCGGGGTGGGGAGGGAAACGGGAAATAAAACGACGACGGGGGCGTAATGCGCGGGAAATCCCGTTTCGGTATTAGGCGCGTATCACCGCAACACACATACGGCCGCCGTACGCGTACGTGTGTACGGTGTTTATGACTTCCGTGACTCGGCGGATGGCACTTCCGGCCGGGTTTCCCGCGAAGCCCGCGGGGCCGTCGTTTCGACGGGAAACGAACGGGTCGTTCGGATCCGGGCGGGCGGGGGGGGGGCGAGAAAAATGCGCGGATAACGCACACAATAACAGCGCAACGGGCGCGCGGTGAGGTACGGAATGGCTATGCACGCGACGGTGTGCGCGGTTGGCACTGCTCGATAATGGGCCGTTACGTCGCGACGCCCGTCCTCGGCTGTGCCGTCACACCGGTCCGATTGCCGCCCGTTATAACGTCACCCCGTTCGCGCGTAAAACCCGCGGTTTTCCGGAGCACGTACGGGGGCGATGCGAAATCGCGTTTACGCGTTAAACCGCGGCCGGTCGACCGGGTGTAGAGACGCCCGCCGGACGGTACGCGCGAGATGCCCGACGATTTTCGATTCGCTGCGAACGTCTGACGGACAACGGAAATTTCCGTCGGTTTCCGCCGACCCGCTGACGCGACATTCCGCTTTTCGATTTGGGTCCCAGGAGGAGAGCGTACAGTGGAACGAACGTCCGCGCGTTTTTTTTTTTTTTTTGTATAAGTTCCCGTTTAAATTTCGCGCCACTCGTTAGCACTATCAAATAAGACAATGTGAAAAAAAAAATTACAAATTATTGCAGATTTTTATGTATCGAAAAACGTTTGCATTATACATATTTCTCTATTTTGAATATTTACACCCGTGGTAAAACTGATGTAACATACATTTTGAATCACTCTGTACATGATGTACTTGATACTTTTCGTTCGCTTTAAATAATATATTTGTCAATTTTGTCGTTTTTCGCGTACGTACGTCCGCGGTCGTCCGTCGGTGAGGTGCGGGCGAGAGGGGAACGCGTCATCCCGTATTTTTCGTAACCGCCTGAATACGTTGCACAGTGAACAGCGTTTGACGAAATGATCGTCGGTATACCGTTTTTGAAAAACTTACGGTTGAAAATAATACGTTGCACCCTCCTCCTCTGCGGGATTTTTTGAAAACTGTCGCCTTCGCCTATCGGCGGTTAAAACGATTATCCGCTGTCACCAAAGCATTTCCACAAACGTGTACTTCTTTTTAGAAATACACGGGGATCAATAATCACTGACACGCCGTGGGTTTCGTACAATCAATGTATTTATTTAAATTTGATTGCGGTATTAAAAAATGCCAAAGCTCGAAAACATCCAAACAAAACCAAAACTCAACTGGGACTAAAATTAAAATAAAAATACGTTTCGAATCTAAAAAACAAAAAAAAAAAAAAACAACTATCAGTATAACAACCGTTATACATTACAATCGGGCGGGCCCCAGACGACACGGATTGACAGTGATTAAAATGATATTTAGACAAATATATACTAGGCTAGCTAAATACATACCGGGGAAATTTGATTTTCGCCTTTGGTAATCAAATGTATGTTTTTTTTTTTCAGCAATGAATTTACACTATACCCGTTTAATTTTATATACTTCGATAAGGTTTAATTTGTCCGTTTTGTTATTGTTGTAAATAATGGGGGTTTTTTTTATAATAATATTATTGTTTTATCAATATATATTTATATATATCGGTACAATGAACGGTTGTTTTAACATGTGAACCGTTTAAACAGACGCCGAATAAAAAAAAAATACACAGATATTATCGTTATTGTAATTTATGCTAATTTCTACAGGGTGTATTATAAATTTAAAATAATATTGGCCCGCATAAGTACGCGGAATGTTGTTTATTGGTGTATTTTATATTTATTGTAATAAATCATAAATATTCATTTGCGCCCCTTTGAAGGGTTTTCGGCGTTTTGTGAATATTTATACGAAATTTTGTTTTCGGTATCATTAGTCATTAATGGGCTGTAACTGCACCGCGATGATGGATTTTATTTTTTAAATATTATTTGTATACGAACATGTTTATTACGTTGAAACAAACATATTAATGTACTTATTATTATTATTATTATTTTTTTTTTTTAACTAACAGCGTTTTTCCTATTATTATTATTATTATCATTTTTCGTTTAAAAGATGTTTTACTTATACCGATAATATAATTTTATATTGCATTAAGTCAGCTACTATAGGTGTATAATAATAATATGTTTGTGTAATTATTAACTCGTTAATTCTAACTGAATACTGTCTGTATATCGTTCTAAATTTAAAAAAAAAAAAAAAAAATGTAATCGCTAAGAGTGTATTGCTCGATGAATGGAAATCTGCGTAAATATAGTAAACGTAAATTGTGTTATACCAGCGACTAGTATATTACGCGTTGTCCGCAAATAAATTGTTCGCATTATGATTATTCAAACGCAGTTATGTATTTTATTTATTTATTTTCGACTGTAACGACAATAGGTACGCGCATACAACGTTAATACGCAATATTTATTTAAACCGAGTAAGTATCAATAACGACTGTGTAACGAGCATGCGTGCAATATCCTATAATACTCGTAAACAACCGAAAGGTAAGTCGCACGAATCTTTTGATGTTTTCTTTTGTGTATTTTTTTTTTTCGCATTTTAAATTGACGGGATTCCGAGTAAAAATTGTTAGTCGATTTTATGCGTATAAAAAAAAAAAATAATAATAATAATAATACATATATATATGTACTCCTCGATTTCTTACGAATCCGCTTTTGTAATAATAATAATTCAACCAACGCACAACAGTCATGCGCGATGCGCGTACATGTGTAATTACACTTAATAAATAACTCAATAATTACTTATTATACAATCTTATGTAGAGCAGCGGTTCGTAAACTGTGTTCCGCGATTCCTCGGGGGGTCAGCGGCGGCTCTGTCGATAAAACAGTCATTGATTATGACGAACCGAGATATATTAAAAAAAAAAAAAAAAAAAAAAAAAAAGGCACGGGTAGGGGGTCCGCGATTTTCTAAAAGTCTTTGGTCCGTGCGCACCGAAAGTACCTAAGAACCGCGGTCGTGGAAAACGCATGGGTATTGTGTATTGTGTTCCGACGTACGGGGATCGTGGGTTTTCGGTTTTGCCGCGACGCTGAACTCGCGATACGCCGCGCGCTCCGAATCGCATCCAACGTTCCCCACTCGAATCGGTTATTTTTCACACACTCAAACAAGGTTGAGGTAAAACCGCGGAGCATAACCGATGCGGATTTTTTTTTTCGCCCGAAATTCAACGTTGTCAATTCACGCTTGGTTACGTCACGGTCGAATCGTCGTCAATGCGCCACATATTATAAGGTCGAATTAAAAACGCGAAAACGGGTTGGGGGGAGGGGGGTACAGAGAAACGCCGTACGAATATTTGGAAAAAAAACAAAAAAATTCCACACGGTACATGTGTGTCCTCTCGCAATAATTCCGGGAACCCGCGTATTGTTACCGTTCCGTCAGACTCCCTGCAGGCGTACGGAATTTCTCACGCGCACATTCGCGTATGGAAACTGCGCCGATTACGCGTGCGCGCCGCGCGGCGATAAGTCGCGTCGCGTGTAAACGGCGCGCGCGTAACCGTTTTCTAAGAGCCGTTCTTCTCGCCGTTGGCGGTCGCCGTTGTCCGGATGTTTCGCGTTGTTCGGGGAGAAAAACCGTCGGACGGGTCGCGCGTCCGAACCGTACCGAACCGACCGGCGATGTCGGAGTACGCGGGTACGGCAAAAAGCAGTGGGAGATTTTTTTTGGGTACTGTACCCGCGACGACCGCGCCGCCGGCCGCCGAACACGCGCGCGGACGGGAATATGACGAAAAGTTTATCCCGGGAGAAAAAAAAAACAAAAACAACGAACGCACTCGGGTCCGCGAATGCCGCAACGCGAGAACGACGCGGCGCGATATTTTTCATTAAAATATAAACGCGCGTTGTACACGCACACAGAATACCACGCGGTCAGATAACAGAATTCATTTCGCCGCGAATTCGATTACGTCCGGCGGCCGGTGGCGACGCGAATCGCACCCGCCGACGGCGTCGAAACGTTAAAAACGGCGGCGCGGTGAAGCGGTTTCGCCGACGGTTTAGGGATGGGGGGGGGTGGTAGGCGGCGGGGCGAGCGCGTAACGATATAAGATCGACGTCGTCGGTTAGTTTTTCTCCGGAAAACTTTTACGGTGAACCGCGCGACACACGAGTGTAATGATAACAACATAAACGCATAAATATTACGCGCGGGCGACGTACGCCGCACAAATGACCTTACGTTTTCTGGATCGCGGACGGAAAATTCAAAATCAGACGGATACCGCGCGGCTGGACGAGTTTAAATGACGAAAACTTTCGCGGACGATATGTAGCGCGCGATTTCGTACAAAATAAAACATATTATAATAACAATAATAAAAAAAAAAAAAAAAACAACCAAACACCTATACGAAAAAACATCGAGAATTTCACTCTGGAATTGTGGATTTTCGAAACAATTCGGATCTGTGTTACGTCTGCACCGGCGCGTACCCGACGCGGGAGCGGCTCCGTGGAAGGGAACCGAAAAAATGGTCGACCGCCCCTGCTCTACACTATGAAGTACGCGCAAAATACAAAACGCGTTTTGACTTAGCTCGCCCCATCTGCCGTCAACCGAGTATCTGACTTAGCCGTCCCAGACCCGGCGGACGTCGTCGGACGTACACCGAGAGAAACGTCCCGGCGCGTACCCGTACGGGCATACGCCGCGCTCGGGATGTCGGGCGTCGCCGTTCCGGAGAAAAACGCAAAATTAGCGGCAGGGACGAACATAAAAGGCAAGAAACGAACAAGTTTCACGTCGGGTCGCGCGATTAGTATGTGCGTCGTCGCCGTCGCCGCGGACGGGACGTGTCGCTCTCGGAGTCCCGTAAACATACGTGCCGCGAATGACGTTTACGGACGCGGGGGGGAGGGGTGGGGGCGCGATAAAACGGTAAAGGGCTAGCGGGTGGGGAAAAAAAGTCGCGGTCGGGATCGCGCGCGCCGGCGGACGAGATCCCCGCGCGTACGTCCACGACACTTTGTCGTTATAAAAACCCCGACACTATTACGGCGTTATGCGTTTTTTTTCGGTGTTTTTTTTTTTTTCCTCGTCCATCTTCCGACGAAGTTTTCGGATATGCGACAGACCGCGCGCCCCTCCCCCGCGGTATATTACGCGTCGTTTACGGCGGTCGTCACAGTTTTTTTTGTTTTTTACCGCCGCGAACTTATTGCCGCCGGCTTGGCAATCGTTTTCGAATCGCAACGCGTCCGGGGCACCGTCGCTCGTACGTAACCCCGTACGCATATCCGCCCGCCCCTCGGCCGCCATTAAAACATATACGCGATATACAACAACAACAACAACAACAACAACGGCGATAACAACAACGGCGATAACAACAACGGCGATAACAACAACGGCGATAACAACAACGCGTTCGTGTACGCGGGCCGAGTTACCGGACGTACCGGGCGCGTATCGCGGCTGCGTGCGTATATTCGGCCGATCCGCGTGAGAATATCGGCGCGATGTACGATCGCGGCTCGTTTGTCCCATTTAACAACGGCGTCCGTCCGTCAAAACCCAAAACCTCTAAGAGTGTGCCCTTAATCATAAAATACAAAAACCTAAAAAACTGAAAAACGGCAAAATTGTTTTTATTAAAACAACGAGACAAACGTAAAATGTTATACGAGAACAAAAACAATATTTCAAAACGAAAACTGTAAATTGTGTTTTTCAAACTATTTTTTTTTTTCAACAAACTCGGTGTTGCGTTGAACTTTCTGTCCGCGAACACTGACAAACACTTCTTGTCATTATCATAGGAAAAATTAATTTATTATAACTTAAAAGAAATATGACAATATAATTTTTCTGGGCGTGTGACATGTCACCCTTTCGCATCCTCTATTGACAAAATAGAGGATGCCCGCCCGTGTCTTTTAGTAGCCCGATCGCGTTCTACGGCTGTGTATGATTTCTTTACCTCACCCTTCAAAAAAACATTACGATCGCGTACGAAAACGAGTGCAGCGTCGCCAAAATGCGCTACTCAGTTAATTTACTGTGCATACAATTTTTTGCTATGTGACCGTATGCCATATTATGAATACTCATAATATTTACTAACTACTGTTAGTAAATATATTAAATTAATTGTTCAGTAAAAATCGAGTGCGAATTAACGTGTGAATTGTATTTTATTATTTTATCAGATACTATTGAAATAATACAGTAGTATAGATAATTATAAACTATTATAAATTAATACCGTGAATAGATTATAATCTAAAACCTTGGCATCAATAATCAGTCCCTGATAAAAAAAATTTTAATACATTACGGTCTATTTAAATTGGTTGTATTAATTATACAATTAATTACTTGACAGTAGTGAACTTAAGGGGGCCCGACAGCCTTGCTCCTCCCATTGGCCAAGTTAAGTTTCATTAATTCAATAGTCATAGGTAATTTGTTATGAAGTATTTGTTGTTATCACTGAATTTTAGACTATGGCCTCCCTTCTCCCAAAATTAAACCTTGGATCCGCCACTGTTACATGGTTACTTTTTTGGACAGCTTTATTAGGACAAAAGTCGTGGAAATAAAAGTTACTATTACATTTATCAAACTATATCCAAAGTTAGTTGTTATTCTAAAAATTTTTCACAAATTTCACGGTTATAAACACCGGGAACGTTGCACTTAATTTGGGTAGTTTTTTCCTTTACATTTTCGTACAAGAGTAGCTATCATTTTAGGAGTACAGCGATCCCTCTTACCTTCTCCCCTCTGAAAGCCGAATCATCGTTAACGTGGATTTTCATAACTTAATACATAATTTCAATTAAATAATTATAAAAAAAAAAAAAAAATGAACATTTATGTCTGAATGCCAGTAAACAAACCAATATGGGAAAAAAATCACCAGGAGGGGCGAGTGGGCCCATAATCGCATTTCCCACAAAAGACACAAAACGCGTTATTTTATTACGACCGCGAAATGAAACCGCATAATATAATAGAAGTAATAATTTTTTAACAAAACATCTCGATAACAGAAACTATTTGTATATTATTATGGTAACAAAATTAAAGTGACAGTATAGAAGATATGATAGTAGAATGAATTTCCCGAAAAAATTCGTATGTGTCTTTACAACAGTAAAAGAGAAAGATATAATATTATCCACGGGAAAATCTTGCGTTTAAATTTTGTTTTAAAAACATATGCGTATAAAATTATCTCCGACGAATCAGCTCTAAGAAAATCGTACGTTCAATAATGTTTCGAAGGAATTGTGTACAGAGAATAGCATATAAAAAGACTCGAAAAATCAAAAAAATGATCTCCTTTAAGTACCTG